TTGATTCTATTTTGATACCTTGTCCTTATTGAGATTTCTGGTTTTGCTGTTTCTATTCCTGTATTATTCTGATATCTTGAGGCACCCACATCTTTCTATCTAGCCAATATGGACACATTTCTGAAAATATCTTATTTTGGAACCAATTTGCATGCGTATTATTTCTCTAATATGGCTTAGTCTGAATTTCTTACTTCTAATTTTAGTAAGACACAATGGCCATTAAAGATGTTATAATTTTAAAAAGATACATTTATGAAAGGAAGCAGTAATTTAAGTGGCAATTAGGTCTTTAGTTTCTCTCAAAGAGAATTGCAATTTGTTGCTCCTCTTAGATTCTTCATCCTTTCATTGTCTTCCTTCTTTCTGAGCTATCATTTTTATACTGGCTCTCTTCACCTTTTTAAATCTATGCAGCCCATTTCAAAAGCACTGTGGTAATCCACTGGAAACACCCTAAAAGTGTTCATATGCTTTGACCCAGAGACTCTACTTTTGGAAAATAATTTCAGAAAAATCAGATGCTGTATCCACAAAGATATTCATTACAGAACTAAATATAGTTTAAAAAAAAAAAGCCAGATAAAATCTGAATGTCTATTGGCCAGGAATTGGTAAATTATGACACTTCAACATAATTGAATAACATATAATGTGAAATTTATAATTAAGAACAGTCTGGGAAGAGTTGGCTTCAAATCCCAGCTAAAATACCTAAACTGCTGCACAGACATGTAATCTTGGGTGAGATACTTATCCTGTTCAAGCCACGGTTTCCTCATTTGAAAATATGAATAATCTCATATTGATAATATGAAGATTAAATGAGTTATCATATTTAAAGTGCTTAGCACAGCTCTTGGAACACTATAACTGATAACTAAATTGTAACATCTTCATTATGTATTTTCAGATAAGAAATTAGAAATCACAAGAGTATACGAGTTATGATTGTGATTATGAAACATAAGAATTGACAGATTAGTATGAAGTTATAAGAATAGTTTCTTACATTGCTATTAAGAAGTTATAAAACAATGAGATAAACATGGGCTATGTAGAGTTTTAAGATGATTTTTCTGTAAAAGAAAATAGTTAAAAGAATTCTTATGTAGTTTAGATAGCTGGAATGGGTTGAAAGTTTTTAAGGCCCTTCCCGTACCCTGATTTTATGTTTCTATTTACACGTTGGAGTAGGGTGTTCTGGGGTTGGCATAGGCAATTTGATTTTCATTACATTGTACAAACTGGCAAATGCTTTTGAAAAAAACAATGAAAAGTTTAAAACCATAAAAAACCAAACCGGTTGCCGTCAATTCTGACTCATAGTGACCCTATAGGACAGAGTAAAACTGCCCCATAGGATTTCAAAGGAGCAGTTGGTGGACTTGAATGAAAAGTTTGGGGTTTTTTTTTTTTACCCCTTAAACTCTTTTTCTTCGCATTTCAGCAGCTTTCAGAAGGAGTCTAATCAGAGGAGGAGTGAAACTTGGTTCTACTGACATGTCCTCGAAAATAGCACAAGCCTCACAATAGGTGGCCCAAATGAGACCCTTTTTATGATGACAAAACTGTTCCTACAAATCAAAGTCCATATAAACAAGGAAAAGGCTATTTAAAAACATTCACCATCAATGCCAGTTGTCAGCCTGCTAGAGACACTGGTTGAAATGACTTGTACCCATCACATATTTGTTTCTACAGATGGAGAATTATATATTTGACTTTTTGGAAAGGTTGGGTACTAAAAATACATTTTTTTTTTTATAAAACACAGCAAGAGGAACAAAAAGAATGGCAGCTGCCTATTTCTCTCTGTAACAAAATGTGACTTACAATGTAGTAATGGAAAAAGATCAGAGAAAATTAAACAATTTATAAAAGCCACACCATAAAACAAAGCTATAGAACATAATGCTAATTAGAATTTAATGAAACTGCCAGGTATCTTGAAATATCAACCATGTAATTTCAGTGCCTTACTGAGAAAACCATGGAATCAGTGTGGTGGTGGTTTTATCATAGATGTTGCTGCTATACAAACAGATACATTGAGCCTCTAGAGAAACAAAACAACATTCTATGTTGAGTTGCACTGATAAAGGAGGGAATTGCTTTGTGATTAAAAAACAGAACAAAACAAACAACTGACTGTACAAATCTCTACCAGTAACAATCAACATGCCTTGGGTGGACTTCTATTTAAAATGTTATGAAAAAATAATTTAAAGTACCACTCTAGACTAAAAACTTGCCTTCTATATCGAATCTGGCTAAGGGACCCATGTATAATTGCTTTGCAGTGTCCAACACACCCTGGCCTCCTTTAGATGAACTAAAACTAACACACAAGTGTGTTCTGAGACCAGACTAAAAACTATGCACTCTACTTCCTTCCCCAGAATCTTCTGCACACCCTTGTCCAAATTTTTTTTCCTACTCCTCCTTGCTCTCAGTTCTGCTAGTTTCAATTCCCAACTAAATTAAATCTGCTCTTTAGATGCCATTGCTTATGATCTTCTTTCTTAGTTCTGCACCAAGTCGAGAATTTGTTGTTGTTAGTTGCTGTTGAGTGGGCTACGACTCATGACGACATATGTAATAACAACAAAATGTTGCCCTGCCTGTACCATCTTCATGATTATTGGTAGGTTTGCGTATATTGTTGTAAATATTGTGTCAATCCATCTCACTGAAGGTTTCCCTCATTTTCACTGACCCTCTTCTTTACAAAACATGATGTCCTTTTCTAATGATTGGTCGTTCCTGACGACATGTCCAGAGTAAGCAAGCTGAAACTTGCCATCCTCCCTTCTAAGGAGGATGCTGGTTGTATTTCTGGCAGTCCACAGTATATTCAATATTCTTCTCCAACATCACAATTTGCACATGTCAATTCTTCTTCTGTCTTCCTTTTTCATTGTCCAGCATTTGCATGCATATGAGGAGATTGAAAAGACCATGGATTGGATCATGAACACCTTAGTAATGAAAGTGATATCTTTGCTTTGTAAACTTTAAAGAGGTCTTTTGCAGCAGATTTCCCCAATAAAACAGTATGGTATTTACCTTCTAGTCCCACAGACCTCCCCTCCTTTACTCCACTAAGTAACAGGCTAACAAATGATAAGTCTGATAACTTAACAGGACTTACGGGATAAATATTTCTCTGTAACTGAGTTTATTAACTGTTACTAATTTCTAATAGTCAAAGAGATTACTTCAGCTATATATTGTATATGTCTATTTATTCTAGATTAAAATTAACCAGAATCACTTGACTAATGTGTATAGTAGGACAAGTTTTGCTTTTCTTTGAAATCGAAATTGGGACTAACTTAAATGTAATCATTTAAAAGATATGTGGTCTTGGCTTTAGGTCAGTATTGTCTAGATAATGGATTTTTTAAAAGGTTGGATTCTTCAGTTAATTCATTTTTAAATGCATTCGCAAACCATATGAACTCTTAAGATTCTAACCTTACAGGAATTACATAATATCAGAGTTGAAAGGTACCATAAAGATTAATGAGTCTCATCTTAACTACCCGCCCAGAGAAGTAGGAGGTCAGGGTGACAGACCCAGGCAGATTTCAGGGAGCCTGGATTGGGTAGATCTTCATGGCATCGAGAGAGTGAAAATACGGTGTTCAGGGATGAGGAATGGTGTCTAGGTATAAGTCAAGTAGTCAAATTGAAGTACATATTTGAAAATGCTGAGCAGACAAGCACACACTAGGCATAAGGGAACTATAGAAATCGATGACACCAGGACAGAGTAAACAAGTTTGGTTGGAATGGTGGGGTGTTAAATCTGGTGAAACATCCTGAAACAACATGGCACTGTCACATAGTTTTTAAACACCTTGTTTAAAATGGGGAGGGAGTTGTCTAGAGACTAGAGCCAATTTAAGTAAGTATATTATAGACTCAATGATTATATTTTCTCTACAGAATCTAAGTCAAATTAGCCATCTAATCCTATATATGAAGAATTCCAGTGGCCCCTTATTATTTTTGAAGAATGTCCATTCCAGTTTTGGCAAGCTCTGAGTGCTAGACAGTTTTTCCTTTCACTGGACCAAACTGGGCTCTCTGTAACTTCCATCCATGGTGCTTGTCTTTTATGCTATACATAGCTATATAATAAAAATGTAGTATCAGTTGGACTATTTTTAGAAATTCAACTGGGCCCAAAAATTCAGGTAGAGGGATTATCTGGACATCCTAATTTAAGGTCTTAATAGCCAAGGAAAATGGAAATGAGTTCTTTTACTAAATCTGCAGACAGGCTGATATTCAGATAATTGTTCTTAATTTTTTTTGCAATGTTTTGTAACATTTTAAACATTTTCTAATAAAATAAAATTTTTAGAAAAGAAAGCTGTTAATAGGCTTATTATTATCGTCATCAACGTATTTCATAGATACCTCTTGAGACAGGCACTTAGATCTGTTGCAAGGACAAGGCCCTTGTTCTTAGCGACCTGAAAAAGTATAGGCAGTGCTATGGCAGGAAAGAGCTGGAGATTGTCTTCTATTTGAGGTGCACAACACATTTTGGAAAGGAATGTAAAATACAGGGGAATAGTATGCATTTTGAGAAAAACATATATTTTTCCAAGCTCAAAGGAATCTGCTAATGTAAATTGGTTACTATTTTATTAAAACCAAAGAAAGAGGGGGGCACTAAAAAAGAAATATGCTGTTAAATAATCAGAAGGCACAAATCAAAATTATTCTAACACCTTTTTATAAGAGCACTTTAATTCAGATACTTGTAAGAATTATTCTATCAAATGGCATCATTTTCTTGGAAACGTGGGATTAGGGGAAACTGTAAGAAGGCTGAGCATAAACAGCAAGGCAAGCATTAATGTGTGCTACTTGAATGGGTGCGGTGGAGGTCCACCATGTATTAGATTACAATTCTGAGAATGAACTTGAACATCACTTTGAGTTAAAGTGAGATCAGGCTTTTACGACCCTATTCTATTGCCTGACACTTTTATAAATGGCTCTGTGACAACAAGCTGTGATAATCCTCTTTTTCCATAAGGAGGGGCTGCTTTTCTTCAGGAAGCTGCTTTCTCCTGCGACGACACAGCAGGCTGGCGAGCCCTCCCAGCACAGCGGTGAGGACGGCCCCTACCACAGCCGCCCCAGCGAGCCATTGCCAGATCTGTCTGGCTTGTTCCAAGTAGGACTTAATGTAGTCTTGAAAGGAGTCTGGTTCTGAAAGAGAAAGACATTCTAATGTTTCTACTTTGTCATTGTCATCAGCAGCAGCATCGTCAATCTTTATCATTATTATTACTGCATAGTAGTTTGGAGTCAGACGGCTGGGTTTCAATGCCAGCTCTGCTCTTTACTCGCTACAGGATCTTGGGAAATTTACACCTTAATACCCATAACTTTTAGTTTCTTCTTCAGCAAACTAGGAAAACAATACCACCTTGTTGTAATGTTTTAAAGTTTACAGGTAATGCCTGTAGTTATCACAGTGCTTGTATATAGTATGCACTCAATTAAATATGAATTATTCACAGTTCTTTCTGCTGGTCTTATAAAAATCTGATTATCTATAAGAACCGTGGTATACCACTAACCATCCCATAATCCAGTCTTTTAATTATCTCACAAACATAAATGGACTAAAATACTAACAAATGCTCTGGAATCTTAGGATGCTCACAAGAACCCCCAGGACATTAGAACAGTTTCTGCATTCATGAAAGTCACAATTTAAAATCCCCAAATAACATATTTCAACCAATTATATTTTTAAGTAATTCTGAGCAAAGAATAATTTCTAACATTCTGATTATTTGTAATGCTTCAAACCATATAAGATGCCATTGGGAAGGTACAATAACCCTGACTACTACTGCCCATAAGAACCTTTCTACCTCTGAATTCATCTAGCTTTGATAACCTGATACATACACTGCAGGCATAATATACCTTCTGGGTTCCCTTACCCTGTTCTCGAATTGTTTCATGAACAATTTATTTCCTCAACTGCCATGAGTTCCTTTAGAGCCTTTTTATATTCAATTCCACAAGCATTAAACATCAAATATTTTATAGGTATAACCTTAACGATTTTTCAATTATTGTGCCCACCACACTATATTCAAGTTGTTTATTTATGTAGCTGCCGTCTCTATTAATATAAACTGGCTTGATGACGGCCAAAACTGTTTTAATCATTTTTATTTCTGGAATCCTGGCATCTGGTACAGTGTCTGAAACACATATGAGAGGATTAAAAATGTTTACTGAGTGAATGAATTTGTTATTGGGCCCAGAAAAGATGGTGAACATTCCCAGGATGTAGGTGTGGAGCAGGGAGATGAGAGCTATCCAGAGGGTGTTACCAAGGAAAACAATTACATTCTTGTTAAAGAGTTTGGTATAAGTAGTAATGGGTACTTTAAAAATCAAACAAAAGGGAAAAGGTAATGCAAGAAAGGAAATGTATTCATAGTACAGTATTTGGCTCAACTGTGAATAATATTTACATAGTAAATGTTATAGTCATCTAGTGCTACTCTAATAGGAATACCACAAGTGGATGGCTTTAACAAAGCGAAATTTATTTCTTCTCAGTAAAGTAGGCTAGCAGTCCAAATTCAGGGCATCAGCTCCTGGGGAAGTCTTTCTCTCTCTGTCGGCCTTCTTCTCTTCAGTGTTCCCCCGGACTAGGAGTTTCTCTGTGCAGGGACCCCAGGTCCAAAGGAAACGTTCTGTTCCTGGCACTGCTTTCTTGGTGGTATGAGGTCCCCCACTCTCTGCTTGCTTCCCTTTCCTTTTATCTCTTGGGAGATAAAAGGTGGTGCAGGCCACTCCCTAGGGAAACTCCTTTTACAATGGATCAGGGATGTGACCTTAGTAAGGGTGTTATACAATCTTACCCTAATCCTCTTTAAAATAAAATTACAATCACAAAATGGAGGACAACCACACAATACTTGGAATCAGGGCCCAACCAAATTGATACACACATTTTTGGGGGGACATAATTCAATCCATGACAGTAAAGTAATAAGAAAAAAAAATTCTGGATGTGAATTTGACCTCAAACGATGATATACTATACTGAGAAATTGGAGGAAAGAGAAGTGGGGTTGTAAGAGAGCTAAATCTTTATTTAGTATATGAGAAACTGCAGAGATAAATTTAATGAATTAAGAGATAGTAATATTTACCTATTATTTAGAAATATTTATTCTGTAAGTAGCAGAATAGATAGTAAAAATAGTTAAATCATGTTGGGAGCATTATGCTGGGGAAGGAGGTGGGGGGGTGATGGGTTATAAACTTTGGAGTACTCTCTGGCTTTTAAAATAACATGTTTATATTATTTAATAAAATGAAATTAATTAAAACATATTTGATAACATATTTGTGTGTTTGTAGAAAAATAGAAGAAAAAACAAAACTGGTGATTAATCTGAGCAGTGGGATTTTGGGAGACTTTTATTTTGTATTTATTCCCTTTTTGAATTTTCCATAATCTAAAATGAAAGTATTTTACTTATATAATTAGGAAGAGTGTTACTAAAAAGTACTGGAAGTAATTAATAGTTGATATGATCATATATTTAGGAAATCCATGATCAGATATTAAAAGGGATAGAATGTTGTTGAATAAGGATTACACAAATTAACGTTTCAGATGTATTAACCATAACCTAAAGAAATAAACATAATAAAAAAGAAATATTCCCATTATCAACCTCATATTTAAGGCACTCAACAGTTAAATTCCGGGGCCCTCATAGTGCAGTGGTTATACACTCTCCGGCTAAGCAAAAGATCTGTAGTTCGAACCCACCACCCACTTTGTCGGAGAAAGATGTGGCAATCAGCTTCCATAAAGGTCACATCTTTTGAAAACCCTGTGGGGCAGTTCTGTCCTACGGGGTTACTATGAGTCAGAATCTACTTGACAGCAATGGGTTTTAGTTTGAGCAGTTAAATTAGAGAGATGTTTAACATTTATATGTATATAATCATAGACTCTATTTAGGAAATAAAATTTTGAGTTAATGAAGACAATGCTATAATTATAGCATCTACTTAGGAAATGCTATAAGATTTGAGTAAATGAAGACGTCCTCACTTAATATTTGTTCGATATGAACAGATTCTCTATAAAAGAGCACTTTACTTACAGCAGTTGTTGTATAAAAGAGTAGTTTATTTTTAGACGATGCTCTATAAAAGAGCGATTTGGTGATACAAATGGAAAGAAGAGTGCATCCTGGACCTACCTTGCAGGAAATTACGGATATGTGACTAAGTCTTGAGCAGAAGTAATATGTGTAACTTTTATGCCTTAAAAAGAAAGGGTATGTTAGGCTGTTTCCTCTCATCACTCTTGTTTGTTGTTGAATTGGAAGTCCTAGCCAGTGCAATAAATTAAATAAAGAAAAGAAAAGTCATGTAGATCAGAATGGAAAAAAAGAAACTGTCCCTATTTGGCAAATGACATGATCATTTATATAGAAAATTGCAAAAAACTTACAAAAAGAAAGCCTTCTAATACTAATTAAAGTCTGTAAAGTTACAGGATAGAAGACAAACATACAAAAATCAAATATATTTCATATACTAGCACTGAATATGTGGACAGTAAAAATTAAAATACAATACTATTGACAACTGCTCAAAAAATTTTTTTGTGGTGTAAAATAACAAAGGATGTATGGGACTTGTATGCATAAACTACACAACTCTGATAAAAGAAATCAAAGAAGATTTAAATAAAAGAAGAGACAGTCTGTGTTCGTGGATGTCAGTTAAGATGTTAATTCTCCCCAAACTGATATACAGGTTTAAGGTTATTCTTTCAAAATCCCAGGAGAATAAAGCAAGAAGAATCAGTCTACCTAATTTAAGAGCCCTGGCAGTACAGTGGTTAAGAGCTTTGCTGCTAACCAAAAGGTTAGAAGTTAGAATCAGCCACTTCTTGGAAATCCTATGGGGCAGTTCTACTCTGTCCTATAGGGTCACTATGAGTTGGAATTGACTCGATGGCAATGGTTATGGTTATACAACAATCAAGACAGTGTGGAAGAATAGTCACATAAATCAATACAACAGAATAGAGAACACAGAAATAGACCCACAAAAGCACGCGAAACTGATGTTTTACAAAGGTGTAAAAGCCATTCAGTGTAGGTGAAATTGTCCTTTCAACAAATGGTACTGGAGCAATTGGACATCCATAGGCAAAAAAGTAAAAATTAACCTAAACATCAGACCTTATGCAAAAAGTTAGCTTACACTGGATCACAAACTTAAATCTATAACGTAAAACTATAAAAATTTTAGAACAACAACAACAACAAAAAAGGAAAATCTTTAGGTTCTAGGGCCAAGCCAAAAGTTCTTAGACAACAAAAAACATAATCCATAAAAGGAAAAAATAGATAAAATGGACTTCGTCAAAATTAAAAACTTTTGTTGTGTTAAAGACCCTGTGAAGAGATGAAAAGGCAAACTATAAGTGGGAGAAAGTATTTGTAAATTATATATCCAACAAATGACTAGCATCTGAAACATATAAATAACTTTCAAAACTCAACATTAAAAAAAAAAAATCCAATTAGAAAAATGGGCAAAAGACAGGAACAGACAATTCACTGATGGGGATTACAGATAGTAAATAAGCACATGAAAAGATGTTCAACATCATTAGCCTCTAGGGAAATGCAAATTAAAACCACAATGAGATATCACTATACACTGATCAAAATAGTGACAATACCAAATGCTGGTGAGAATGCAGAGAAACTGGATTACTTATATGTTGCTGGTAGGAATATAAAACTGTACAGCTGCTCTGGAAAACAGTTTGGTAATTTCTTTAAAAAACTAAATATGCAATTACCATATAGCTCAGCAATTGCACTCCTAGGCATTTATCCCATAGAAATGCAAACTTAGGTTCACACGAAAACTTATACATGAATATTATAGCAGCTTTATTCCTAACAGTCAAAAAATGGTAATTACCCACATGTCCTTCAATGGTTGAATGGTCAAAGAAACTGTTGTATATCTATGTCATGGAATGCTACTCAGAAATACAAAGGAACAGACTACTGATACACACAGCAACTCTGATGAATCTCCAAAGAATTGTGCCAAGTGAAAAAAGCCACATACCATTCCTGAAATGACAAAATTTTAGAAATGGAGAAGAGATTAGTAGTTGCTTGAGA